TAAATTTGGAATAAAATACAAAAACTAAAACTGTATAGTGACAAATATCTTTTAACAACGGTAATCCGATAATTATCGAAAATGCCTTTAAGATTCGCTAAATTTATATAAAAAAATCCCCATTTTGACTTATAAAAAAAATCCCATCAATACCAAAGCATTTTTTCGAAAAATCTAACCATCAATTTCCCCTTGAAGTTAAAGAGCTAGAACATATTATAAAATAAGATTCAATTCGAACTGTTAAGAAAACGATCGTGCGAACACATACAAAAACCATACATAAAAAGACAATCGCTAAGAATAACACAAGTACTTCTATACCACTTAAGGCTATTTTAGAACTCAAGCTAACCAAGCTCGGATTTCTTAGTGGAAAGAAATGCTGGACACAGCAAGACTGTAAGCGCACACAAGCACATTGCACTGGCTTCCAATTAGAGCTTCTACATTCTACATTATTAATCCATTGTTATAAACATAAAACTAAAGCAACAACTCTGGAAAGGGAGGAGGGATTTTCACAGCGGCCAAGCAGAAATAGTTCAAACTAAAACAAGAATTCTTTTCAGAAATCTGTTTATAGAAAACATTTTGCTCTATTTAATGTTATAAATTTACGACATTACATTTGATTTCTAACTTCAATTCACGGTAACATACCTTCACTTCACAATCGATAAAATTGACATTTTCATGTCCAAAAGAAAAAAAACACTAAAAAGTTTAGAATAAAGAAATTACTTTTCAACATCTTTACACACAAAGAAAAATCGATGCCACCCCATTTTTATTCTTACATCAAAACAACAAAGATGCAATTCCTCACGTGACACTTCCTATGTAACGACAAAGAAAATGTTTCGAGGAGGTTATCGTGTCGCTAAGAAACATTTTCTTTGTCATCAGGGAGAGGCCTTTGAAACAATGGGCTTGAAATATGGGCGATCAGAGAAAGTTACGAGCATTTAAACGTACGCGAATGACGAGAGAGATTTAGTGCCCAGGTGATCTTTCTTGCTTGTGGCAGTAAGTTCAGGTTATACCCCCCATGATCTCTCAATCCTAAAGAGCAAGAACAAACCCATAATTCATACTACAAGAACTTCCAAAGAACCACATGAGGTCGGTTCACACTGTTAAATTCGAGAACATATATCACAGTAGAAATAGAAAAATATAAGGTTTGCAGAGTTGTGTAAAGAACAGGTTAAAACGGATAGTTGTTGAGGGAGTTTTTGTTCTACACCTCATTATTTCTAATGCTCCGTGAAGAAAATCGTGACAGAATTAAGATGGATTTTCGAAACTTGTTTAAAGATGTCAGTGTGGCAAATGGAAAAAGAAAAAAAAGTTTTCAAGGGGGTCGTATATTAAAATTTGTAACAATATAGTACAGTACCAACTTCGTTCGAGTTAAGAAATTGACATGAATAGTTTAAATTTGGTTCAAGCATTAATATGTCCCCTTGAAAATGTACCCAAATTATAAAAATAATTAGATTTAAAGTAAATTACGTGGAACAAAAATAGAAAACTAACAAAAGTTTTAGTAGCATATCACTAGATTTTCTACGAGTAATTTCGTTTACGATGATTCACAAATTAGTTTTTAATGTTCAATATATGCATTTTGAATCATCAATCATATATATAATCAGAAAGGTTAATATAAAACATCAAACTGGGATCTTTTTTCAAATTAACTTTCAAACAAAATTCGTTAAAAAAATATTTGTGAAGCATTATTTCTATCGTAATCACTTAACTCTTTGTTCTAGGAGAAAATCTTTAGAAGCATAAATAAAATATATGTATTTCAGATATTAACAGATAAGAAATGAAGGGGACAAATAAAAATATTCCATTGTAATGACTACGTTCATTCTTCGCACGTTTTGCAAGAAGATTGAAGAAGATTGCTTTCCTTTTAAATCCAATTTTATGTGTATCTAAGCAAAAATGAATAGTTGATCAAAAATCCAATATTTACACTTAGACATTTTAAGTTTAATTCCTAACGGTCTTAGGAATCAAAGTCTCAAAGTCTTTTTTTTTAATAAGGCGTCAGGCTCTTTTATCTATTTCAACGCCCTGCCATTCAAAGCTTAAAGTAAACCCTGTAATAAAAAAGGGGGCAAATAAAAACAAATTTAAGCGTACCATATAATTTAAAATGTTCCTATTGGTTTGACAATAATTTAACATAGTAAAAAGAGAGGAATTACTGCACATTATATCTTATAGCTCAGAAAAGGAACTTAATATTATGATGCACACGTATTTAAGTAATTTATTCATTCGTAGGCGCATTTCACAAAATAAGCGACGTGCTCGTCTAGCGTGACAGGACATTAATTTTTTATATGGATGAGAAGCAGACTTAAACAACTTCCTAATTGCTGACTTAATCTATGCACAGTGACTATTCTGCTCGGGACGCTTCAAGTTAGGGACTTATTTGACCCAGTCAAGTCAACCATCCCTTTATAACACTTAACCGTTTCATGCGTATAGATTGAAAGAGTGATGAAGAGTAACAACTAATAACGCGTTTCTAGCAGAAAACCGGAACACGGCCACGAACATAAATTCCCAACCTGACAACTAGAACACAAAGCTACAACAAATAATTTTTCGGAAACATCTGGCGAGTATTAATAAACATAATTCAGTACAATAGAAAATACATGCAACGTGATGTCACGTCGTATGAAACACCAGCTGGAGAAAACAACTTTGCGAATTTGACCTTGGGAATAAATGTTAGTCATTTACGCGACCACAGTGTTGTGAAATTATTACCGATTTTCGAACAATCAAACGAAACGGCAGAACAGGCTAAGGATGGAAATGATTCACAAATTGAGATCCTGCACAGCAACGAGCGCCATAGAATAAGAAGGGGAGGAATTTATATTAAATTTTTATGTTTATATATAGTTATAATACAGTAAAAGAAACAATTGTCTAAAAATGCAATGAATAACTGATACGGATTAGGGATTTAAGTAATATAGGGTTTTTAATTTCCCCAACCCGTAAATTGGATTTATATCATTTAAAAATAGTTTGATTCAAACGGGTTTTAAAAATTGTTCGTAAGTCACAAAAATTATATCCATATCTGTATAATTATTGTACATAATGTGCAAAAAATAAATGTATTCTATTGTACGTACTGCACCATTCCCCCCAGGAACCTGCCAATTTATAGTAATGTATTCCTTTATTTTTACACTATAATTGTATTCATTTATTAATTAAGATACAAGCGCGGATGGTCGTAAATCAAGAGAAGGTGTATATGCATTGACGACATTACAATAAATTTAGCTTGATGTCAGAACACACATTAAATTAACATGCTCCAAAATAAATGCATTCCTTTGAGAGCTTGCAAAAGTTTAGATATAACGGATATTTATTTCCTTTGCTTTATCCGTTTTTACGCATAAAACGGTAGACTTAAACAGTTCAACACGGCTTAATATAAATATAAAACATTTTATTTTTTGCTTTTGAATTATTCAAAAATACAAAAGTTCAACACGGCTTAATATAAATGTAAAACATTTTATTTTTTGCTTTTGAATTATTCAAAAATACAAGTTTCTTAAAACGCATATCTACTTTAATTTTGTTTTATACAAGAATCGACAAATATATTCCGCATAGAAATAAAGTTAAATCCGAAAAATAACTCAATATCTAGCAATTAAAAATGAACATTTTGGAATCACAGCGGTCTAATTATATGCATTACAACACGCTGTCCTAAATAAGCACTTAAAACGAAATTACTGTAATTTTTAAGATTAAAAGAGTAAAATTAAGAGTGGGAGAAAAACCTCACAGAATACACAAATTTTTTCATTTCTCACAGTAAAAAAAGAAAAAACTTCTTTCTTAAAAATTCTCGTACACTATCATTGTTTTCTATATAACGTAGAACAAATTATCAACCAGACATTAAAAAATTACTGTTTTGTACTAATAGCTCAATAAAATTTCAATTTCTTTCAATAAAATAATAAAAAATAAGAAATTGCAATCAAAAAAGAAAAAGCAGCTCTATTTGAATCCTTAAATATTGGATTAATTTCTGATTCATCACAATAAATATAATCAAACCTAAACGATAAGCAATCAATAAAGAAATTACATTAATACCGATAGATTAAATTCAAATTTTTCTTCAAATAAAGATATAAGTACACTAATATTAAATTAAAATAAAATAATTTTCACGTACATATCATTAATAATCAATTAAACTGCTATAATTCTAACTGAATGAAAAAGAATATAGCAAGACAGTACAGGTTAAATTATAATAAACTTAGTAATTCAATAGTAAACTCCTAGCCTTTGGAATAAGATCGCAGGATTAAACCTGGTTTCTAGGTATGAGAACCATCCACCTTAAATTACTTATGTTATTAGGCTAAAATAAGAAAAAGAAATATACAGTTTTAAAACTTTTTTTTGTGTAAACTAAAATGAATTTTTTTAACTCCATATAATCATATCTATATAAAACAATACTTTACTTAAAATTCCGAAATTTATAAAAATGCTGAAATTAATTTTAATAATATAATTGTTACTGTTAGTAACAAAAAACAACAAAAATAGAACACCAACTAATCTATAAGCAACCCAAAACAATTTTATATCTATACTTATATTAGAGATGCGTTACTAACAATTTTCATCCAATAGATGTATTTTTCAATTCCTCCACTATTAGTTTACTCTCTGCCTATATATATTTATATATGTATATATATCTTGTTCAAATTTTCAATCATTAATAAAATACTTTTAATTCATCCACTCAAGTTCAAATACATTTTTTTAAACTTGTAGTGGATGATACTTGTTATTTATTCAATTTTTTCAAATATTTTAATTCATAAATTAAATTTAAAAATGAATAAATAATAACAAAAAATAATAGTCCAACAGCATATATAGAAAGGAAAACCTTTCGTTGTGTCCCAGTAGCGCAGATAGCGATTTGGACTTCTAATCCGAAGGTCGTGGGTTCGAATCCCACCTGGAATGGCCTAATTTCTGAGAATGTGATTTCTTTTTACTATACCGTTTTATTGGAATAATTAAATTTAATTAATGAATAAATAGTAACAAACAAAAATAATAGCAAAATACCATATATAGAAAGAAAAATGGAAAATTACAAGGAAAATCGCTTTCTATTTTGCCACTTAATGTTGTGATTCTGTGATATGTATATACATATTTACATTAGCTGTAATTATTTAATAAAAAGTAACTAAAATAAAAAATTTCTTTGTTGACCTAAGTAGGAATTTTGACTTAAAAAAAAATTATATTATTCATACTTAAAAGGAGACTTTTTTGGATTTCCTTTTTTTTTTTTAAAGAACAGCTGAACATTTTCGATTGCTCAGTTGGTTTCTTATTCGATAAAGTGCGCAATTAGAACTGTATTGAGTGAAGAAAGTGGAGAGAGAGAGAAACTTCAAGTCCATCCAAGATGGACGTCTCACGAGTCACTTAAAAACTACCTACTGTGCAATATCACACTTTCCAAGTACTTTAACCATCATCCAGTAGTCTTTGTTCTTAACGAGATGTTAGTCTACAAGAAACAATTCGGTAGTGATATTCAATGTTTTGGTATAAAATCAGTTGACAAAGAGTTTGAGCTTCACTATATTTACATTAACATATATTTATATAAACATAGATATTTTTTGCAGTAAAAAAATACTTAAATCTTAAAGTAGATAGGGAACACATTTCTTGTGATTGATAGATAAAAAAATGTTAGAAACGAGTTTTATAAAAGCTACGCCCTCCACCATATACATACATGCATGCATTGTCATTTCAAAATAATTTACTGGCGTAACTTGATGTAAATGACACTTGTCTTCTTCGTAACATACATTTTAAACCGTTGTTGATGAAATGAATATCTTAACAAGCAGCCAAACATTGCAACATCAATTCAAAGATTAAACAAGTAACCGACATTATGAAGAAAATAAAACATATTTTAAAAATATATTCGCATCCTAATTAAACAGCTATTGTATTCGTGAATGATGCGATTAAGTAATTTTAATTAGCAACAGAGATTACGTTATATAGTTTAGACAAGTGATGAAATCAAAGTTTTTGTTGGTTGCAATAATGACATGTTAGTAGAAGACGTGATGTCATTCTTGAGAAATACACCAGACTGAATATATTCTTCTTATAAAAAGAGAAAAAAAATGACATACGAAAAAATAACACTTATATCACAATATAACCAAAAAAGCGGCCCAATATATTAATTTAAAAAGTAAAAAATTTATTTAAATAATACACACTAACATATGCAAAATTTGTAAGTATATATATAGTCAAAAATAATCTTTCGCAAACAAAAAATATATTTTAAAATAAGCCAAAACATAACTCTTTACAAAAGGTTTAAAAAAAATGAGGAATTTTTTTAAAAAATTATATTTCCTTCCTTTTAAATTTTTAATGCAATGATATTTAAAAATATTTTTAATTATTTTTAAAAAAGTTCTCTTTCTGTGACCCCATACTCACACTAAAAACTACTCTTACTTTTTTTTTAAATCGATAATTATAAAAATAAAGGATAGTGTAATTAATATATCTGAACTTAAAATTTCTGGACCTTGTGTAAACATTTAAAAGTGATGCAATTTCCTTTCTATAAAATGCATTTTTAAAAAACTTGAAATAATTTGCACCTAATATATAGCTTTTGCAAAAGCTTTCACTCGAAATAGGAAATAGAAAAAAAAGGGAGAGAGAGAGAGAGACTTAACAGCCAGGAAAAATAAATATAGATTTAAGTTAAAAGCTTTTTCCCTCTGTGCTGTGTAATTTTCACCTTTCACAATAGCATCTAATTTTGCTATAAATCCACCACACTATGTGAAATCTTACAAAAATAACAAAGCATTGTATTTAGAAAGAAACTCTCATCCGGTGTCTTTCTTTAATCTCTTTCAATCAGGTAATATGAGCTATTTTTCTCATAAAAGATCTTGCTTCAGCAGGGGGGATTCTAAGTTGGGCTCAAGCCCTACACTCTGTTGCTGCACGTGTAAAAACGCCTTTCAGTAACACGATATGCATCCATTTTTTTTTTTTTTTATCCTTTCTCTTTTCTATAACAGGAATTTCTTTTTCAGATCATGAAAGAAAGCATTGTGAGTTGGGAGTAAAAATGAAGTGGATTGAAAAAAAAAGATTAGAACAAACTAAGGTACATGGAATATAATATTATTCAAATTGATCTTCGATAAAAATGTTTATGTAAATATATATACACGCGCAAACATACTCCCCCTCCTATTACGCAAATTGCTGCAAAAAAAGCTAATGCAAAAAAAAAAATGTGAAAATTTTATCCAATTTACAGACTAATTATAATTTAGTATAAGCACCTTGGAAAAATGTACAATACATTTAATGTAAAACAAAACACACACACAAAAATTTATTTGCCACAAAATATTTAAATTTTAGTTATTCTTTAAGTTTTACGCAGAATAGCTAAATGCTCATCCAATGGAGTGTGTTTCTCCACAGTTTTTGATATGTTAATATGATGAAAAATAAAATATCACTAAACCAGAAAGTTTAAGAAAAATAATTTTTATTGTTGTGTGAATAACAATAAGTAAAATTTTACAACTTATATTTAAACATTATAATGAAACAGAATGCTTTCATAGTTGAACATCTACGTTTAATTTTTGAAAACTTGAGCTATGATATAAAATATTAACTTGTGATTAAATTTACTTTCATAAATTTAACAATTTTCATTCTAGGCCAAGAAATACAGGACATAAATTTTACTATTTAATCGTATGATTTTTAATTTTTGTTATAAGTTTCTTTCCAACTGCTCATTCACACGTATAATTCAATCGTTTACCATAACTTGAAGGATTTTTTGTAAATGTCAAGAACAGTCAGCATTCTGTATCCTATTCAACTTTAAAAGATACCGAGAGAAACATTTTACTCTATCATATTCCATATTACAAATATTAAATGCATTCAAATAACAAGCATCTGATGTGCAAATATTTTAGTGAAAGTGCGAAGATCTAAAAGATTTTAACTATTTTCCTTTGTAACATAAGTAAACAAATGGGTATTTTTAAAGGGAAATTTATTAAACTATGAGAAATTGATTTTGAATGATATTGCATGAGTGATTTTACTAAGTTTGCATAATGTATAATTTCATATAATCTCATAAATTATGAAAGTGCAAGCATGAATCAGTACGCTAAGCGCAGATCCGTACACTTTATTCCAATCCATTGAGCGGTCACAAAAAAATTCCACTGTATCAGTGGCGCACACGAGGGGGGGCTGGGAGTCCGGACCCCCCAAAGCCCTTGATTTTTTTCAGATTGATTATAATTCTAAGTATATAGTACAATTATCAAGTAAGGCTTTGCAACGGAAATGTAATTTTTATGAAGAAAAAAAATTGCTTCTAATGTTTGATTTTGTTGTATTTTATATTCATGAAACTCAAATAGAAAAACGAAAATTGTGTAGAAAAAATTGTCATGAAAGGGAAAACTGGCCATGTCCTTTTATTTACAGAGTGTTCCTTTTTTAAAATTACTAGAACTAACACCTTTTTTAGTTATTTTTATTTCTATGTTTCCACATTTTCTTTATTTCAGAGATCAAATTCTCCTTTTGCTCTCATTTTTTGCAAGACTATTCATTTGTTTGTTGCCTTTGTGGAAAAATTACAGAGGCGCGTTATCTTTTATAACTTTAATTACATTATGCAAAGAGTTGACACTTTCACCACACAACATTTTTTTTCTTTCACCCCCATTTCCATATTCAGCGAGAAAGGGAACTTATTACGTGGCTAAAATAATATTAAGATGGAAGAGAAATCTCTGTAAAAGTCAATGACCTCAATTTTCACCTAAAAAATATATACGCTACAGGATATTTTTGGACATGCCGGAAAAGAGAATTCTCACACGTAATGTTTACACTTTTTTAAAGGCTTTTTTTTTTCTTTCTCCCCTTTAAGAAAATGTGAAATAAAACGTATGTTATGGGTATTTTCAACTGAATAGGGGGGAATCAGTCACACAAATAAAAATGTTGGTTGTTTTCTCTTTTATACTCCCAGGATAAATTTACCAATTTTCAGAAATTGGAAATTAGGTAAGTTTATTCCGAGCTGTTAGTCACGGCTGAATGCCTTAGTGGTCCTTTAAAAACAATTCTATTGGAAAATAATGGCTCTAAATCAAAAGCTGGACTACGTTGAGTGCGATATAGGTCAAGGATAGATAAAAGTTGAAGGCGTTTATTTCAAATTGCATTTAATATTTTTTTTATAAGTGATAGGCTTGTTACTTTCATTTCTTTTGTGTGAGTCTTTTATAACTATTTAATGTTGTTTTAAAACTTGATTTAACTAAAAACAACGCACGAATTTAACAAAGAAATTTAAAAGCTAATTGAAATTAACTGAAAATTAAATAATACTTTACATTAATATATATATATATATATATATATATATATATATATATATATATATACATTATGTTTATAAATAATAAACTTAAAATGAAATGCGATGTATTTATAAATTTGTAGCTCCTATGAGTCAATTCTTACCTTATTAAATCAATAAATTTCAATACACATTCACTTAACGCACCGAAAAGCCTTTAAAAAATCTCGATTCAACAATATCAGTTCATAAAATATTAAAAACTAACAAAAAAACCAAATTCGAATATAATAAAACCTTTTCATTCAAATTTTTTTAAAAAAAGGGAGGGTTATAAAAATTACTTCATGCAACTCATGTATTCTTCTAAACAATTAAATTTTGCTTATCTTTTTCAGAGCACATTTCCCTGCATTTGTTGATTTGACACACAAAGATAAAGCAATTCTCCTAAATTCATTATCATAAGCCCAGTTTGCTTATTTTTTATTGTTTTAGTATAACTTCCTTTTCGGAAACAATGGATCAAGGTTCT